GGATGGTTCAACATACGCAAATCAATAAATGTAATCCACTGTATCAATAAAGCCAAAACTAAGAATCACATGATCATTTCTATAGATGCAGAAAAAGCCTTCAATAAGGTCCAACATTTATTCATGATAAGAACTTTACAGAAAATTGGAATAGATGGTCTTTACCTCAATATAATAAAGGCCATTTATGACAAACCAACAGCCAGCATCATACTAAATGGCCAAAAATTGAAAGCCTTTACTTTAAAATCGGGCACAAGACAAGGATGTCCTTTATCACCACTCCTATTTAATATAGTACTGGAAGTACTAGCCAGAGAAATTAGACAAGAAAGAGAAATAAAAGGGGTAAAGATAGGAAAAGAAGAAGTTAAATTATCATTGTTTGCAGATGACATGATACTCTACATAGAAGACCCTCTAAACTCCATTGAAAGACTCTTAGATACAATAAATAAATTCAGTAATGGGGCTGGATACAAAATCAATACTCAGAAATCAATAGAATTCCTATACACGAACAACAAAATCACAGAGAGGGAAATAAGAGAAACTGGACTATTCACATTAGCAAGCAAAAAAATGAAATATTTAGGAATTACTCTTACAAAAGAAGTGAAAGACTTATACAGTGAAAGTTATAATACACTGAAAAAGGAAATTGAAGATGATCTCAGAAAATGGAAAGACATCCCTTGCTCAAGGATAGGAAGAACAAATATTGTGAAAATGGCCATTCTCCCAAAACTCTTATACAGATTCAATGCAATCCCAATAGAAATACCATCAACATACCTTATAGATCTAGACAAATCACTTCTAAATTTCATCTGGAACCAGAAGAGACCTAGAATCGCAAAGGCAATTCTAAGCAGCAAAGACAAAGCAGGAGGCATCACAATCCCTGACTTGAAGTTATACTACAAAGCAACAGTAGTAAAATCAACATGGTATTGGAATTAAAACAGAGCCGAAGATCAATGGAATAGATTAGAAGATACAACCACAACTACAAACACACTCAACCACCTTATCTTTGATAAAGTAGCCAAGCAGGTTCACTGGAAGAACGACAGTCTCTTTAATATATGGTGCTGGAAAAACTGGCTCTCCATTTGCTGTAAACTAAAGCTAGACCCATGTCTATCACTATGTACTAAATTAAAATCTAAATGGGTCAAAGATCTGAATATTAAAACAGAAACACTAAATCTATTGGAAGACAAATTAGGTAGAAACCTTGGAGACATAGGAGTAGGTAGAGAATTCACGAACAGGACTCTAACCGCACAGGAAATACTTCCCAGAATCAATAACTGGGACCACTTCTTATTAAAAAGTGTCTGCATGTCAAAAGAGATCTCCAGCATAGTGAAAAGAAAACCCACAAACTGGGAAAAGATTTTCATAAACTCTCTCTCAGACAAGGGACTCTTGTCTAAAAAATATAAAGAATTAAAAAAACTCAGACCTCCAAAATTCAAAGATCCAATCCAAAAATGGGCATCTGAGATGAATACGCAATTCTCAGATGAAGAAATGCAAATGGCAAATAAATACATGAAAAAATGCTCATCATCATTGGTCATTAGAGAAATGCAAATTAAAACCACACTGAGATACCATCTCACTCCTGAAAGAATGGCCAGGATCAAGAAAACCAACAACAAATGCTGGAGAGGGAAAAAGGAACTCTCCTGCACTGTTGGTGGGAGTGTAGACGGGGTACAACCTTTGTGGAGATCTGTCTGGAGATTTCTCAAAAAGTTGGGATTGGAAATCCCATTTATTCCAGATATTCCACTTATAGGCATATTCCCAGAAGAACTGAAAGCATCATACCACAGTGATATATGTGCACCTATGTTTATAGCAGCACAATTTGTAATCGCCAGATCTTGGAAACAACCCAAGGGTCCATCAACTGAGGAATGGATAAAAAAGTGGTGGTATTTCTATACAATGGAGTATTATTCAGCTATAAAGAAGGATCACATTGAGATATTTATCAATAAATGGGCGCAGCTTGATACCATATTCATAAGTGAAATAAATCAGTCTCACATGTGAGAATACCAAATAGTTTCCCTAATGTAAGTAATGATTCAAATATATAAAATATGTGGTAATCATGATTCCCCATTATGTGGCCTTGAAGCTTTATAAAGTTTTCACTCATTAATTAGAAAGGCTTTATGCTGGGCTTCTTGATATGGAAATATTTGAAGCTATAGTATATGAAGCTTTATCCAAATATTTCAAGGAAAAAGACAGACACTATGGTAACTACTATTAAGTCAGGTTATATGGTGGTGAAGTACTAGGTTGCTGAAACAGTCAAGCTTTGACCTCTATTGTTATATTGTTATGTCCTGTTTTATCTCAATCTCCCCCTTATTCTTTAAAAAAAATTATTTAGTTATTTCTTATGTTTGTCTTAATTAAGGGGAAAAATTTCAAAAATTAGGATATATAATAGTAACTCTTTTTTATTTCCTATTAACTTGTTTTGAGGTCCTGTAATACTCGCACGATCTTGTTTTGACTGATTAGACTCTGCTCCATTCTGTATGATAGTATCAAGTTTGAGGGTATAGGCAACTACTTTGAAGGCAATAAGATTCACTAAGATGCCCATTCTGGTTTGACTATTGTCTCCTTTGGAAGTCCTGTAATGTTTACAATGCCTAAGTTTCATTGGTCTTGTTCTCTACTGTTTTGTCCAACTTTATAATATCTAATGAGATAGACAATTCTTTTTAAGGAAACAAGAGACAACGTTGATAACCATTGTTGATAACGTTGTACTCTGTTCTACACCATGTGCTATGTCTATCCTTGGTTTTGACTGACAGCTTTGTTTTGCCATATTTGACTGTATTCTCTCCCCCCCCCAAAAAAAGTAATAAGAACTAAGGAGTAATAAAATCCAAAATGTGTAAATTTTGTTGTAAAAAATAGAGGTGAAAAAAAAGAGCTCTAACGGATATAACAGCAAGTGTGTTTAGGGGTGTTAAATAGCTGACTATGTCAATGTTTTTGGATCATTGAACACAGCTTTTTGCAGTCTCCCTGTTTGAATGTCCACTTTGTATTCTTTGATACTGTGATTTGAGCAACTATTTTCAAGATGATAATATGTAATCTATTAACAGGTGATTTCCTACTGTTATTTTTTTTTGTTGTTTTTGTTTTTGTAGTTCTGTATTATGTGTACCCTTACAGCGCTTTTGTTTTGTTTTGTGTTTTTCTCTTTTTCCTCTTAAATAAAATAAAAAAAGAAAGTCCCCTCTATATGCTTTAATTTTGTAACTTCAACAACTATTTCTAAGATGACAATAATTAATTAACTAGTGATTTCCTACTGTTTATTTTTTCTGAAATTCTGTATAACTTGTACCCTTTTTCTGTTTTTTTTCTCCTTAAATAAAATTAAAAAAAAAAAAAACATTGGTTGATTCCCCTAGCAGTTATAGTCAGATGAGGTTGACTCCTTTTACAGTACCATTGGTCTTAACATGTTCTTCTAGGTAGGGAATTGCTGGGGATAAGCAAAGCCAGCAAGGGTTGAGTTTCCCAGTCATGTGTGTTTCACTTAGGAGTTGCAAGCTATCTCAAGCGAAGAAAACAGGTCTGACACCAGTTGAAATGGAGTGGGAGGAAGAGTGGTTTTAAGAGAGGAGGTTGGATTTGTCTCTGTAGCCCATTTTGTTGCTAGACTTTTCTGTGTTGTCTTAGGGGCTGGAATGAGCTTAGGGGTGGGTGTGGTCTAGAATTGGGTTTTAAAGGTGTTTCTTTGGTCTGTGCATGATCCCATAAGTTAATCCTGATCTCCATTTAGGATCATGGTATTTTGGAAAATTAAGGTGCTTGGGTTACACATATCACCAGTAGAGCAGTAGGAGTTATACCCTTGGATTATTTTATGATATTTCTTAGACTGGTATCCAACTTCCCATGTTACAAAGGAAAAAGCATAACAATACATTTCCTTATAGTAATTATACACACAGCAAGCTAAGCTGGAAATATCAGACTAGTCCTTAGGGTATAAGTAATCTAGATGCCCTTGAATAACTTAGTCAAGTAGATATCTAGTCCACAATAAATATACGGGGATCCCATGAAAGGATAAACTTCTGTCTCTCAGCTCGATATATAAGCAATTTGCATAAAACTAAGGTAAATGTAGGCAGATCAGTTTCAAAATTTTCTATCATATTATGAGAAATTTAATCATATATAGTCCAAGTTCTCCAATTACAATACATTCATGCACAATCTAGAAGAGGCAGAAACTATCAAGTTATATAAAAGAAGTGCAATGATGGGATGCATGTGTATTACAGTCAAGTGCAACTGGTGAACTTTAACTTTAGGGAGTTACCAATTAGTTGCAGAGTAGTCTTGAGAAGATTGCTTTTCTTGGGCATCTAGGACCTTAAGGTGGGAGTGGTGAATTCATGGAGTCTTGCCAGCCACCTTTATTACACAGCTATAATACACAGGTTCTGTATACCTTGTGTATACACAGGTTCTGATAATGTTGGAGGAATCACCAGGAAGATAGGAGTGGTTTCTTCTATATCATCTTCTTTAGACCCCACTGATTTTATGGCAATTTCTTTGGCTGCCATATCATCCAAATTTTTTCCCTTGTAATGGGATCATCTCCTTTTTGGTGTTTCTTACAATGTATGATGGCCAATTTCTCAGGTAACCAAATAACTTGCCAGCAGGTCTAATATTGGGGGTGCATTTTATTTTATCTCCTGCTGAGGTCAATAGACCTCTTTCCTGATAAATTGCCTCATGTACATGAGTGGTAGCATAAGTATATCTGCCATCAATGTACATGTTAACCCGCTTACTTTCAGCCAGTTTTAAGGATTCTTTCAAAGACATGAGTCCAGCTAGCTGAGCAGAATTGCCAGAGTGCAGCTTCTGGGCCCACAAAATCTGGATCTCAGAGGTCACGTATGCTCCTGCAACACATTTACCTTGGTACATGTCGCTGGTACCATCTAAGAAGAATGATGTTTCCCATTCCAGAGGTTTGTGGGTCAGGTCGGATCGAAGGCTCTGGTAGATGTCAATCAAGGTGGAGAATTACGGTTTGGGGTTTATGGATCCTTATCGGGCAGAAGTGTGGCTGGATTCATGGCTGCCGAGGAACTGAAAACAACAAGGTCAGGATCTAAAAGCAGTGCTTGGTAATGTATTACCCTTGCATTCAATAGCCATCGTTTTGGAGGGGCCCAGATAAAACTCTCAAGTCAGTGAGAGTTTAGCACAGTGACCTTCTGGCCAAAGGTGAGCTATGTAATTTCCTTTATCAACACACCCACAGGAGAAATGATCCTTAAACTTAGTGGCCTACTCTTGGCCAAAATGTCCAGCTTCTTGGAGAGACAGGCCATTGGTCTCTGCTGGAGCCCCAGTTCCTGGGTTATTACACCATTTGTAATTACTCTCAGCTCATCCACATACAATAACAATGGCTTGTTTATGTTAGGGAGTCCTAGTGCGGTGGCATCCACTAGGGCCTTCCTGATTTTTGGAATACTGTCTCTTACATGTCTGTCCATTCCATTGGGCCCTGTGTTTGCCCTTTCAAAGAGTCATATAGTGGATGGGCTATCTCAGCAAAGTTTAATATCCAGAGCCTACAATATCCAACTACACCAATAAATTCAGGAACTTGCTTTTTGGTTTTTGGTGCCAGTATATGTAGGATGGCTTGAACACTTTTATTTGAAGGGGTCATTTTTCTGCCTTGTAATTGATATCCCAGGTAAGTCACTGTCTGCTGGCATATCTGTGCCTTTTTTGCTGAAACCTTGTAGCCCAAATCATTCAAAGTCAGTAACAGGGTCTTGGTTGCATTCTTGCAATCCTCAAAATTTTTAGCAGCCACTAATAGGTCATCAACATATTGCAAAAGTATGACCTGTGGGTGATCTTCTCAATACCCTGTCAGGTCCATAGCTAAGCCCTCATCAAATAAAGTGGGAACATTTTTAAAAACTTGTGGTAAAGGCATCTAAGTCGACTGTTCATTTACTCCAGTCTCTGGATCAGTCCATTCAAAAGGAAAAATGGGTTGACTTACCTAAGCCACTGGGATGGTGAAAAAAGCATCTTTTAGTCCAAGACTGAGTACCAGATGTACTCTAGGCTCAAAAGGCTCAGCAGAGTGTAGGGATAAGGAAACCTAGGATGCAGAGTAACCACTTGCCTGTTGACTTATCGGAGGTTTTGCATTGGCCAGTAATCTTGGGTCCCCTGCTTCTGTACTGTGAGCAATGGTGTATTCCAGGGAAAGATACAAGGTACAACAATCTTATTATCTTTTAATATAGTGATATTTTTTGTAATTCCTTGACTGGCCTGTAAATTTATTGGATATTTTCTAAGGTTAATGGCAGACAGCTGGGGCAAAAACTCTATTACCAAAGTAACTTGATTTATCGCCAGGCCAGGGGGATATTTTTGGCCCACATTTCTAGTATTTCAGCTTGCCAAGCCTTCAGGAGATATCTGTCAGTCTCTGAAGTGGGATCACCCTTTCAGAAAGGAAGGCATGTACCTTGATTTGTTCCCCAGATGTTCCCAGAATCAGTTGTGGGATCTCTACTTGAAAACTCAATTGGCCTTTTAACTTATGAAGAAGGTCTCTTTCTAGCAGTGAATTGGTCATTCCAGAACCCATAGAAATTCATGCATAGTGCTCTTTTGCCCAGGGAGATTTAATGGGGCCACGACCTTCGGGTAACATTTTCACCCTCTGGTGGAGCAGCCTAAGTTTACTTTGTTATCAGTCAGTGTCCCCAATGGTTGAGTTAGACAGAATAAGTTGCACCTATGTTTACCAGGAAATTTACTGGTTTTACTCTCACTTGAAAGGTTATTGGGTTTTCAGGATGATCATTTTAGCCCTGATGCCCTCATTGTTTGCTCAACAAAATCTTGGCATCCTTTTCCATTTTTGCCTTTAAATTGGGGCAGTCCTTTGCCAGTGCCCTATTTCTTTACAATAAGTGCATTGGTTGGTTTTGAGACGGGTATGCTTTTTGACTTTGTTATCTGTCTTTTGCTTCTGTTTGTGCTTAATTTCTTTTTCACACCACAGCTCTAACACCTTTGTGACCTTCTTATTCTTTGCCTCTTGTCATCTCTCTCCATTGTCAAACACCCTATGTGCTATCTCTATCAACTTAATTAGGGGCATCCCCTTGAGTCCCTCTAATTTCTTAGCTGCCATGTGCTGGGCCCTGAGAAACAGTTGGCAATTTTGTGTCGGAGCCTCCCTATCTCCAGATGTTGAGGTTTCAGGGCGGGATAAAAGAAAGGAGCACTCTAGTCATTCTGGATCAGCCATGGGGTTCCTGTCTGGGTCCAAGATTCATTTTTGCACTAGAGTGCAGATGCAAAGTCATTCTTAAGAGGTGAAGAGGACTTTTAAAATCTGCTGACCTTTGTAGCAGGTGGGACGATGGGTGGAAACATAGATTTAATTAGTCTAATAAGGTTTTTGGGATCCTTGGAGAATGAAGGGTTTTTGCCATTTCAAGTATGTAGGTCAGAAGTGGCAAAAGGAGTATAGACAAAAATCGAGTCCCCTGGTTCCCAGGAGTCAGGAACCTCCTGAAAGATGCAAAGTGCTGACTCCACCATGGTGGAATCAGGAGAATTTGGCCATGGTCTACTTTGGGTCTGGATTGGACTGGGAGGGTGGGAGAAGCTGTTGGGTCAGGGGTCTCTAGGAGGGGAACAAGAGGAGGGCGGAGACATCTTCCAGGGGTCCTCCACTGATATATAACTGGCACAAAAGTTGGGAGTTGAACACAGGTGATTTTGGTTTTCTTTTCAATGTTGCCACCACCTCAACCTACAGGGAATGATTAATCCAGGGTGGAGAATCATAGATGAGATCCATCCACATCTGAATGTAAACTATTTGCTCTGGGTCAGAACTGGGCCCAAAAACATACTGGCAGACAGCCTAGGCATTAGCCATGTCAAAGGATCTGGTTGGGGGCCAGATGCCATTTGTCCCTATCAGCCACTCCTGAGAAGCAAAAACCATTAGCATTCTTCTGAAAACAGGCTCACTGTAGCCTTCATCCCAGTTCTTAAATTCTCTAAAAGGGTCCATGACAAGACTAAGGGGTGTGAGAGAAGTTTTCTCACTGCAGTGACCCATTGTTGCCTGCTGTGGTTCTCTGTGAGAGGAGGAAATCAAGAGAAAGGGGACGCAAATAAAAGAGGAAACAGAATGATACAAAAGAATCACAAAACCTAGGATTTTTTGTTGTTCGGAGGGTCTCCTGGAGTTTAAAAGAAAACTGTCTGCACCCTCAGAGCAACCAAATGGATGATAGTTGGTCCAAGGGAGCATGTGAGCTCTCAGGTACAAGTGTCCTGGAAGGGAAAAGTTAGAACAAATAACACGAGACAAGCCAGGACTACAAAAAGACTTAACAGAAAAACAAAACCACCAGTACTGATAAAAATGAAAACAACCTTTCTCTGGTAAAATAAATGAATTTTGGTTTGAAACTTCCCTTCAAATTCCCATATCAAATTGGAGGACAGTCCTGCTGGGGTCCAAGACCCAAATGAGTCAAGAGACTCCAAAACGGATGATTTAGAATTCCTAACAAGGATCTGACCTCCCAAGGAGGAAGGCTTCATCTTCTAAACAAAATTAAGACTTCGTGGTATGACTTTGAATCAAACGGAAGCCTCCAGTAGTTACTCTTAGCGAATCCGTCCTCAGGAATTGAGATGGTGGGCTGTTATTCCCTCCTGGATGAGCCCCCAAAAGTGATGGTCCACTTGCAGAGGTATGAAGTAGCCAGAGAAAATAATTTGGAATGAAAAAAATTATTTGTTAAAGAACTGGCCCGATGATTCAGCTTCCAGTAGGCAATATGGAAAACTGCAGGCTTAACAGCTAAAGGATAGTGTTCTTATGTGTACAACTGCAAACATCTGCTAGTCTCACAACTCAGGGGGAATTTTTGTGGTGCACTATAGAACAGTAACACGGAGGTTACGTTTCTTGGGTAGAGCAATTTCAGGTAACAATTAGGCTAACAAGCAAATTTAGATTAGTCAAACATCCTCTGGGGAAGGCACATCCTGCAAACAAGCAAGTTATCCAACAAACAAGCACGTTATCCCACAAACAAGGATGATTAGCTAAGGAAGACAAACTGTTCTGCTCTGAGAGTTACCTGTGATTTTTCTCCCTCCTCCTGGAGACTTTTGAGAGGCTTTTATATAGGAGACAATACTTCTTTCCTTTTCTCATGGAGGAGAGAATATTACAATATTTTTCAGGGCAGGAATGTCTGACATTGGAAACAGGTGGTCCCACTGATAGATTAGAAACCAAAAATTCCTCAAGAACACATGGAGTTTGCAGCAAACAGACTTCAATGTGGAGATTATTCGTGTCCAACTCTTTTGGGAAAACTTTTCTCTACAATTAGCTAGGACTTTGTGTTACTTTGTGATTGTCAACATCTTGCAGCTTTTCATGTTTTCATGGGAGAAAGTCTCTTATCATAGTGAGAGAACATGTGGGATATATAACAGCAACTGTGGAGTCTCTCTTATATTACCAGCTTAGATTCCAGGAGTGGTGCAGTGTGATGGGTCCTAAGCAGGAGAAGATATGCCCTGCTGACCTAGGAACAAACTAAGCTGTGAGAAACCACCTGGAAATGCAATCCCAGTGCTACAACTTGAACAGCAAAAATCTCAGTGCCAAAGCTGGAATTTGTGCCTCTGGAAACCGAAGCTTGAATTTCCTGCTGCCACTGCTGGAACAGAATGGGCATAACAGGGATAGAGATGGGAATGCTCTCAGAGCTGGATTCCTCAAACTGAATTGAGAGCAGAGCTGGGAGGGTGCCCTCTGTCAACCTATAGTGAGTAAGAGGAACAGGGACTAGGAGTTCCATAGACTAGGAGGCTTCAACAAAGGACATTCTAGGACTGGGCACACTATCCAGAACTGAACACTGCAGTGATTTCAGTCACATACTGCCCTCTCAAGCAGGATTGGTAGGGAGTGCTTGCTCTGGGTGATGCTGCTGACTAAGACCCAGTAGGATAGCCCAAACCAGGTCCCTGCACCTGGCAGTGCCCCCTAATGCACTGAA